CAGAATGAGCTGAATTACATTGGTGGCTGATTTCTGAAAGTCACGAAAGAACGTAGATCTTATGCCCAAGACAGGAGCCTCAAGAGGACTTACATCACCTCTCGCAGGCATTTACTGTCAATTTCTGGATTTTTTTGTCTACAATTTTTCTGCACTATCCATGGGGGAGTTGTGCTGAGCCTGAAGAAGTGGAATTTTATTCACAAAAGCTTGCAACTTGTTTAATTTTTAGCGGTCCAATAAAAGGCATCACTCACACTTACATTCATATAAATCTTGGGGAAACAGGGCTTTTTCCATGTTCTGTGCTCTTATGACTGTACTTTTACTCCCAGGATAATATCATTGTGAACTTTTTTGCCTCAGGGGCCCCAATAATTTGACCAGAGCTGAATTAGACATCCTTGCCTCAGGAGAAGTTCAGTACTATTTGATGTTCGGCCTCAGATGTTTGTTTCTTTGCTGCTTTTGTCCCTGTTGAGGGCTTGGGCTTTCAAAAGACATTTTTAGAACAATATTGCCAGGAGGTTTTCAGGTTTTATGTCATTTATTTACTAATCCTAAGCGGCAAGAAAAGTTGTCCTTTTGCATTTTTCTAAATCTAACCAAGGTGCAATATTGAAATTGGCCACTAGAGAGAGCCTGAAAGCACATCCTGGTATTTTTTTGGTCTGATACTGGTCAGGCATCCTTCAGTCTCGAGAGACTATGATGCTCTGACTAGAGGACTTGGAACAGCATCTAGTGTGGCTGAGAAGGCCAATTCGAGAGGGACCGTCCCTTCCACACTGAGGACAAATACAATCTGTCCCCTGTCCAGCTCCCTGATTTTGCTGCTTTCGGGACTGCCTCTTTGCCTCGGCCTGCTGGACTAGGGTCTCTTCAAATTGGGAGAGGCCGCGATGCAATGCCTGCCTCTAGGCTGAATGCTCAGATGTCAGATGTGTATTACTGATCCTGATCAGTAATGCACAATACACCAAATTATTTGCATAGTCAAAGCAGCTATACCATGGCATCTTGTCTTGCTGGAAAGTAATGGGTGACACTAAAATGCTAGAACTAGGAATGTTTCTAGGTTTCATTACCAGGGAAGTTTCTGGAAGAGACAATTAAAACGTGAAGGACACGTAATAAGAAAATAACATTGTGATTAGTAAGAACCAGCAGAGATCTCTCAAAAACAAATAATTCCAGACTAATCCTTTCTCTTATTTTGAGAGTTACACGGTTTGTGGATGAGAAGAATGCCATGAATGTTTTGTCTCTTGATTTCAGGAACACTTCTAAAACTGTCTTGTCACCAAGATGATAAAATAGATGCCAAGTGATGATGCTGTTTGAGGAATGATCAGCCTGTAGACAGGCTGTACAAAACTCTGCTTGCAGGGAGATTTTAATGCAAACCAAACCAAAACAAAGAAAAATCCCAAAACAGAAATGTTGTCGTACCTTAAAGACAAACTGCTATGTTTTAATCCAGAATGAAGGAGGAAAGGGCAGGTGTGGTCCCAAAGATTACACAGTTGCAAGAGTAGGTGATGCCTTTTATTGGAACACTAAAAATTAAAACAAATGTCAGTCCATAAAAGCTTCCTATTTGTTTTAATTTTAGTGGTCAAATAAATGCTATCACCTATTCTTCCACTTGCTTGCTATTTGTTTTAATTTTTAGTGGTCAAATAAATGCTATTCTTCCATTTGTTCTATATATTTTAATGTAAGCTTTCATGGATCAAATCATGAAAGCTCACATCAAAATCTATATTTTAATGTGAGCTTTCATGGATCGAATCATGAAAGCTCACATCAAAATACAGTACTGTACAGCAGTTAGTCTTTAAGGTGCCCAAAATGTTCCTGTCTCGTTTTGTGGTTGTTTTCGTTCTGTTTTCTGTCTAATATGCTTGCACAGACTAACATGGCTACTTCTTCAAAAACAGTTCCTCATAATCTCCGTATCTGCCTTGGGCCCAAGTGTTGACCAACATCCTTGCAACTGAAGGCGTGGGTGACGTGTCCCTTAAATCTGCTGATGACACCCAGCTTGGAGAGGGGTTAATATCTTTGATGATACCATCAGGATTCAAGATGGAAGAACTGGGCCAAAAACATTTAAAAAAAAACAAATTTACACAGGTTGGAGAGCCATATCCCATCCTTACTGGAGAGGAACAAGGATGATTACGGGGCTCAAAACAAAGCCCTCAGAGGAAAGACTGAAAGAACTGGCCAGGTTTAGCCTTGAGAAAAGAAGACTGAGAAGAGATACGATAGCACTTTTGAAATACAGTGGTGCCTCGCTAGACAGTTACCCCACATGACTGTTTTTTCGCTAGACATTGGCTTTTTGCGATTGCTATAGTATTCGCAAAACAATGATTCCTATGGGGGAATTTTGCTGGACAATGTTTGGTCCCTGCTTTGCAAAGTGATTTTCGCTAGACGACGATTTTGACAGCTCCCTCCACCCTCACAAACAGGTGTTTTCAGGACCTACGCTTCTCAAGATAGCGATTTAAACAGCTGATCGGCAGTTCGCAAAGCGGCTTTCCTATGGCCGATCTTCGCTAGACAACGACGATTCTTCCCCATTGGAATGCATTAAACAGGTTTCAATGCATTCCAATGGGGAAATGCTTTTCGCTAGACAATGATTTCGCTAAACAGAGA